TACTGACCTCTGCACATCCAAGTCAGCGGGGAACGGTGGACAAAACGGGGTTTACGTACGAACATCCTGGTCGTGTGGAGGTATTCACTATACGTGTGCTGCCCTCTGAGACGTACGGGTCAGACAAAACCAACAATGAACATTTGATGTAACGCACGCAAGGCCCAAAAAGCCAATCGTAGCAAGCATTAAAACCGCCAGGCCAGCGTAGAACATGATGTAAGCCGCGATGAAGAGGTCGGGGCTTGGGTTTTTCATCAACTCCCCCGCAACAATCAAGGCCCCGCCGGCGATTCGTGCTACGGATATATTTAAGAAAGTTCAGCACGAAGAGGACGCGATGCTGACTTAGAGAGAAAATAAACAGGAAGAGCCATCCAGCATCTCGTCGTAAAGCATGTCGGATAACCAAAAAGAGTGATACACCAGCAATCGGGACGTATGCCCCCAACTGGGCAGCAGAAATAATTCCTCTGGTGTCAAGAGGCATCGTAAGCGGACGTGAAGGATCGTGCAAGAGGTGTCGCGTTTGTTTCGTTAACCAGACTTTTTTCCGAGAAGCCGATCGTCTCGAGGCGGAAGAAAGCAAGAGGTATCGCGCGGAAGCGGCAAGATGAACCACGGGCATGTGATCGTTTTGATGCGCGCCAAGAAGTAACTTCAATACAGTGCGGAAGCCGCAGTATCGACGCGTCAAATTTTTGTTGAGCGTGCCGGGATGTCTACTTGATTTTCTGAGAAAAGCAGCCAGCGAGTCCCGTTCTCCCTGCCATTCGTAAAGAAATGGGTACCCGACGTTGAGTCACGTGGACAGTACCCTTCCGATCTCATCAACTTTTCAAAACTTTAGCCGAACACCTTTAATGAGATTACCTCGTAGAGTTCCGTGGACGTCGATTGCAGAGCTCGACCAGCTATGCGCTTGGGTCTACACAGACGAGACCGACTTCGAGTCAAAAACCAAAGCAATCAACCGTGTTCGTGCTCAAGCCAACACTTTATCGTTTTCTGAAAAAAACATCTGCAGTTGTCCGCTTGGAGGGCAATAACATCCCTTCCTCATGCGCTCGAATCGACATTGGCTCTACTCTCCGCATTAATGCAGGATGCCTCAGACCCGCATCCATCGTCGTACCTTTCTTTGCGACACACTTACGCGGCCGCGATAATAAGGTTGGTGAATGGTCTGGTCGATCCGCTCCAGCTGGGAGCGTACGCCCGATCCATAGCGTCTATCGCAAATCAGCTCGGTCTTCCGCCTTGGCTCGTGGAACTGCGGCATGCTGCGACACATGAAGACCTTCCTAGTCTAGAGTTGCTTCGACAAGCTGCTCGGGAGGTACCTACCTGGACTGCCTATCGTCTCCATACCGCTGTCTAATAACAGCCTTAGTCGATGACATGGCTGCTGCACAATTATTTTCTGCCCACAATTAACCCGTCGACCGTGGTCCCGCCGCAATCCGCGCCGTTGCGGTCTCTCGCTCCAATGTTGAAGCAATACAAGTCCCTTCGCAAAATAGTCATTCGAGACACTTCCCTCGGGTCGCAATATCAGCAAGAAATCAAAGGCGTTCTCAGAGATGTAGAACGGTGGATCGCGGAGGCGACAGTATCTGCCAATGTCGCAGTTGGTGAACTGGGGTGGGGTACCTCCGGAAAAGGCGACCAGAGCGCGAAGGAGAGGTGGGCGTTGGAAAGGCTCTGTGATGCGCTACTGGAGAAGGGCGCGCTCGTCCCGCTTTCCAAAAAGTACGACTCACGATCTTATAATCTCACATAACTAACAAGTGGAACCCAGAAAACGCACATTCCCCGCTGATTCATTCTTACCTCCGAAGTTCTCCGTCGAGCTCTGGGCGCCTCTACTCTCCGACCTGCACACATTGCACTCGGATTTTCCAGCCATCCTGTCAAGCAGAATCGTCTCGCATCTTTTGGCTGAGCCCCCACAACTCGATATGGTCCCGATCGCAGTGGACACGACTTACGATGCGTGCCTTGCTCGGTGGGCAATGTGGACGATCGACAATTGGGATGCAGGAAACTCCGAATCTGATCTCGACTTGAAAAGAGATACTATAATTTCGCTCATCACTGGTCTGGGCCCGAGTTCTAGTTTGAACAAGGACACTGCAGCGTACCAGTTTTCTCTTTGTTTCAAACTATATGGCTTACACTTGAGTTGCCAGAGCGACGGCTCTGCTGCAGGCCCTCTGCGCTGGGAACCCTGAGATGGATGCAGCGCTATCTATTTTGCTTCGTCCTCAAACTGGCCCAGTAGCTCGTGTATGTGGTTATCTTCTTGTCGGAGGAGGAAACTCACAGATGCTCAAGGACTGGACTTCTGACGACATCGCCGTCATGAACGAGCGGCTGGCCACCCTTTTGGCGGTCTCTGAAAATAATACGGAATTGCACCCCTCCGACACAGCTGCTGTCGAGATGTCAGATACTACATTTGCATCCGGCTGGCGATTGCTCGACGTCAATTCCAGCTGGAAAATGTGCCCTATCGGAGTGTATGTCGGATGACAATACAACCTTGCATTTAAGATACCCAGATGATAATGTAAAATATGGAGGTCCGTAAGTAAAGTCTATGTTCGTTCGTTCATGGCTTCCGTGGCCTGTTTGGTTTACGAGGCGGGGAAACAAGGTCGTCGGCAGAATATGGGGTCGTCCTTCCATCGGTAGCGACAGCAGATAATCTTCGAAGATCATTCGTGGCAGAACCAGACTCGGAAGAGTCGGGGATATACCGCGGAGGCAGTTCGACGACTTCGCTGCCTTCTTGGTGATACACGGTTACAGGTGCCCTTCCAGCATCGTGATGCACAACGTATATGTTACCGGCGCTGCTACTAGCTGCTGTGGGAGTGGTGGCGTGATGGGGCTCGCCGTTCAACTCGCTGCCGCCGTACGAAGAATGTCGTCTGTCGCCTGGCGGAGTGAATGGCTCGACTTGATAGTGACTGCCTTCTTTTTGCATCCGCTGCATGGCAATGTAGCTTGGGGACGGAGACAGACTCGAGGAAGACATGTCATGGGGTAGCTGTGTGGATACCGCCTGGTAATGGGCGGAAGTCGGAGTATGTAAAAGAAAAGGGTCCGTGTACCCTTCGGATCCCATTTGATTTATCAATGGAGTGTGCCTCGCTCGTCTCCGTCGTTGGCGATAGAAGACAAACACACCGACTGTTCCTGCGACCAGCCCTACGAGCAGACCCCCGATCCCAGAGACAACAGCAGTCACAGCAGAAACCATATTCGGTGCCGACCTTGTCAGAGTGAGAATGATAACATGTGGATCAGAAATTAACCTACACTTTGGTCCCGGAAAGGCAGGCCGTCGAAGTTCCTTCACCGCTGTGCAGAGGCCCATAAGCCCAGAAATTCATATCCGCGTCGACAACGCTGATGAAAAATGGTGATCCCCAAGACAGGTTGACTGTCCAGTTCATAGCGCTTTGATCTGTCCCAGTCTTGTTTTGTGGCGGGTGAAGGGTAGGGGCAACCTATATTATTTCTCGTCAAGACTATGCAATTATCAGCCCGCCAAGTGGCTCACCGTGAAAATATAGGGCTGTATATAGATATTAATTTCGCTCAAGACATTTTAAGTTGACAAAATAATTCTTACAGGCGTGCCGTTTTTTGGGGTGACCTGTATATCTGTACACTGCCGAGATGTATCAGCAAGGCCAGAAATTTGGTACGCCAAGCATGTACCTGGTCAACCCAGCCATATTGTGACAGCGCACCGATGTTAGTGACAGCTTCCACGTCAAGCGGCCCAAGAGGAAAAGTAACATTGCGGCACGATGGGGTTGCAGTCGTATTTGCGATCATCGAGTAAATCGCTTGGCAGCCACCTGCGTATGGTTCAGTGGTTCAGCGGATGAGTGTATAGAGCACGTCGTGAGGGATATACCTGTATTCCCGTTGCTGTCCAACTGTGCAAGACATGAGGCAAGTGCTGAAACAACGAACCAAGGACGTACCATGCATATTTGGTAAAGGGTGCCAGGACCAAATGGAACTTCCCAGTCCTGTTCCAGTAGCCTGAGTAATGCACGAAACCACGACGAGAGTACGCACAAAACTCAGGCCACTGCCAGCCGACACGACGAATGGGAATACAAACGCACTATGGAAGACAATGTCAAGGGTCGCACCGGAGCTTCCAGGAGACATACGAGGTGTAAATTTGCAGATAATATGGAGCAGCTGGGTCTGGACTGAAATATACACCCGGTGAAAATCTAGTCGGGCTGAAAAAAGTAACATACCCCGTACCCGCTCCTCGACCCCATGTGAGATGGATGGTGTCGCACTGACCTGCGAATCGACGTTTAAATCGGGTAGAGGACCTCAGGAACGGTTCTTACTCGTTACGGGAACTGCAACAGCCTGAGAGGCGACGTTGTAGTCGAAATAAAACGTCTGGACGCAATTGAGACACTGTTCCAAGCTTTCGGCGAGGGGCGCGTACCTGTTCCAGGTAGCCCAGGTCATTTTTCGCATGCGCGGCCACGCAGAGCCAGAGAAGAGCAAGCCACCAGCACTGGCGTTGGCAAGGCATGCAGCTGGGTCGGAAAGAGGATCGCCGTCGGGAGCTGTTATAAAATTTGATTGGCGATGAGGATGCCCGAGCACCCGAGATTCAGGAGAAGTTGTTGTCTAACGCAGGTAAAGTCTAGTAAAGCACTCGAAAGTTGAAACCAAATGTGAAAAGAAGAAAGGAAGCGAAGAGGCGATCCCGTTGATTCTCAGGTACAGTTGGGTTGATCCGCCTTGCCGTGGCTGTGTACGTGAACATCAAATTCAAGTACTGCCTTCCTTCCTTCCTCCGGAGTGCTACTGCCAGCAAAAAGACTCAGGTGAAAACATCGTAGGTGGTGTTGTTCAAGCTATTTCCGGTTGTAGGAACCAAGCTATTTCAGGCACGCAAAAGTGGGGGTAATCCTATACTCTATTTAAATATATGTGAGTACGTTGGTTGTGTAGTGTAGTGGTTATCACTCGAGATTTTGACGCTTTCGTAATATTCTCGTAACCCCGGTTCGAGCCCGGGCACGACCTCTTTTTCCCTGGCTTTCTCTTCTTTTCCATTCGAGTCCTGTCTCAGTTTATTTCCTATAAAAGGCGCGAATATTTTTCCTGATAGTGGCAAGGAGGACAGTTGAGATTGTCAGAGGGACCCCCGCTTCTGGCCCTGCAGTCATTGGTTGGCACCCTGAAACATTCTGGAATCCTTTAAGCTTTTCTCTGTATAGATCAAAAAGCCTTCTTTTTTTCTGTTTTTCAACTGGTTGTGTAGTGTAGTGGTTATCACTCGAGATTTTGAAACGCCTTGCTCTTCTTCTCGTAACCCCGGTTCGAACCCGGGCACGACCTTGTCGTTTTGGTGTTCAGCCCACTTCTGCCCCACAATTCGTTTTGTTTGCGCCGGTTTTCGACGAGATTGGGACGACCTGAGAGTTTCCGACTCGGATTGCGCTGAAACTCTCAAAGAAACAAGCTATTCATATGAATCGCATGCCTGAATATTTCGTGCTCTGTGGAAGGTGCCATGGAGCGGAAGATTGATGAATGCAAAAGAGCGGCATCAATTTTGATGGTATTTTTTTTACCAGCTCAGATGCAGACATGTCGCTCGGCGCGCTGATAGTATGCCTCCGAGATATCTCCTGGTTGCGCGGCGGCCTTGCTGGCCAAGATCACATAGCCACCGAAGTAGTTACTTATATCAGATGCACACTTCTCGTTCATTCTGCCATCCATCTACACCAAGTGGACAACGTTGAGCATGTCCTTATACGAGCTACATATCACTTGCAGCGATTGCTGCGGCCATTGTACTTGAAATGGCTTGTCATGAAGATGACATAATCCCCAAGAAATTGACGCTCTCGACCTTTCGACTTCCCTCCTCCATATGGCTGGTGAGTATATGCCCTAACGAACGCTGCTATGATATACCGACCTTTTATTCACAGAGAAACCAATAACCATCGTGCCTTTGCTCTCCAGAGCCCTTCACCGAATCCGCACCACTCCGCCGCGCATAATCGCGTCGCCCCCAACCCGTGCGCGCGTTGACACCTCTACTTCGAATTTCCTATTTACCTTCCCGTTTTCAGAGCCCCGCAGAGCAGCTGTCTCCCTTATCATCCGCGTGGTACCCTCCCCAAACGCTGTCTTGCCTCCGGCGTCTTCGAATCCGGTCACGCTCTCCGACTTCTTCGAGCTCGACTGGGTAAATGACCCGGCTGCTCGCCCCGAGATTTTGTTTCTGCAGCGTGAAAATCCCGCTCCAGAAGACTCGGCTATGAGCAGAATGCGTAATACGCAGGAGGCACATGTCGCGTTTCCTGGCGGCAGAATGGAAGCGGACGACGAAGGCGGGCTCTACACCGGTATGTCTTGCGCTCCTGCCCAGCCCATTTTTTCTGACCAGCGCACATGGCAGCCATGCGGCAGACATGGGAGGAAATAGGGATCGACCTCGCCGAAAAAGACTATACTTGTATCGGACAGCTGGATGACAGGGAGATTACGACCTCGTTGGGAAAGCGGCTTTTAATGATCCTCTCGCCCTTTGTTTTTCTTCAACTGACGCCAAACGCCCCTCCTCCTGACCCAACCCCCTCAACCACCTTGCACTGGACCTCCCTGGCATCGCTTGTTTCTGCGCATGCTCCTCCTAGATGGTCCACCGTTGCTGTCGACGCCGCGTCTCGTCTTGCCCCTAAACATTCCACTGCGCTGCGCCTCATCGTCCAGGCACTGGTCGGGAGCATGGAATTCCCCGCGATCATCGTGCAGCCTTCGTCCCTGCCGTCCGTCAGCCCCGACGGCAAACCGAACGTCGATATCCTGGAGAAGGGTATTCTGCATTCCACCCGACCTCATAAACTCAAGCTTTGGGGCTTATCGCTGGGGATGACGCTCGACTTGATGTCGTACATGGTCCTCGCACCTTCCGATGCGCGCGACAATTCTGAGGCTCACAAGTCCCACTCGGGGTCTTCGTCGCCTATCTCGCCTATGGTGCAGCTCCCGTATCAGACTGGCGCAGAGGGCATCCGTATGGACGTCGTCGCCCCGAGTTTGGCTAGCGTGTTCCCGCGATTTTCGTACCCGGACGTCAATTTCTGGATATGGTGCGCGTTTAACAAATTCGGAAACGGTCGCTAACTTCATACAGGGTCTTTGGCAAGCGGTATAGAGAGGTTGTGCGTGGGTGGGAGACCAGTGTAAGAGGTGGAGGTACAAATGACCGAAGGTTTGTCGTTCTTGGCGATCCGCACCTGCTCCTACTCACGACCCATCAGAATAAATTGGTCAGGCTCTGCACTGAGCACATTCTACGCTGCAGTCCGCAAAGCTCTTGTCGTGGTCATAGTCGCGCGTGCATTGGGCATACTCTTTGGAGTTGCGTTCGCCACCTGGTGGATCTTTGGACAGTAGACCGTAGACAACTTGTTTATCCACGTTTTATATGTATCAGGTTTTCTACTGTATCTTGTACACGAATAACGACCACGGCTCTTTCATTTACAACGGGAGGCCGCAAACCTCGCAGTCAGTACCGCCGTGCGCGTTCTCGAATGTACAATGAGGGCAGATCCTGATCCCAGCGCTGGATCCTGCGGCAGCTTCTTGGGCTGCTATCTGGTCGAGAACGTCCTGCGGGATATCGTCGTCCCTCGAGGATGATGTGGGCCCAGCCGCTGGACGGAATTAGAGAACAAACACAACAAGAGACGGAGAACATACATCCGCTCTCCCGCGTAAACGTCATCAGCGTGTTCCAGCCCTCGGTTGCCAACAGCGGGTCCAATTGACTGAGGTCCTCCAGCAGGGTGGGCGACGTTACGATGCTCATCATCAGCTTCACGTCCTCCTACAGAAAAATGTTAGTCGTTCCTGCAGCAATTCGAAAAGAAAGACCGACAGGAGAAAACAATTGAGTCGTGTCCAGGAAAGCAACAAGATGCCAATCGCTCAGCCACGCTGCCAGCTCCCTCCGCTTGTGGGCCTCCCCAGGCTTTGCGCTCCGACTGTCGACGATATTTGGCGCGTCTAGTCGGGCGAGAGCACCGATCACGCTTTCCACGCGCTGGTCTTCCAACCCGGGTCGGTTCTCGATCGCAAACTTCGAAGATTGGAATAAAGGCGATGGATTTTGTGGGAAGCCGTGGGTTACCTACAAAACTAATCAGATTTGGACGTAGAAAATGGCGCAAACTCACGTTGACCATGAGATACTCGACGGGGAACGCTGGCTTGGCGGTCTTCTTCACCTCGAGCCCATACTCGTTCTTGTAAGTGAAAAAGACGTCGGGTACATATCGTGCCGAGTCTTGTGTTCTATCCTCCTCCTTTACTCGAACAATCCCCGGGTCGACGCTCGCTTCTATCATGTCAGCGTCGACCATGGCGCAGGCCTGTTCCGAAACCTGGTACGCCGAAATGTCTATCTGGCCGTCCTCGGTGCCGGTAAGGATGGCGGTCACCAGCCTTGAAGCGAACTGCCCGGTGGGGGACGACTTGGATGGTGTCGGGTTGGCCTTTTGCATCGTAGCAGCAAAGATTGCTTCCAACGAAGACATGTAGAAGGACCCAGGATGCCGCTTGTAGGTGTTCTTGGAACGATCCTCCTCCGTCGGGGTCAGATCGGTGAAGACATACCCCACTACTGTTAATGGGGTCGAGGCCGACGCAGACAGTGCCCGAATACGCGGTTCCTCCTCCCACGGCAAACCCAAAGTGAGGCCATCGAGTTCGCCCTCTTGTGGAGGTTCGTAGATAGCCTCGACTACAGCCTTGACACCCATGGGCACTTTGTCGTACGGCTCATACCGCCCAATCAACCAGCCAAAACGTTGAAAACCAGTGGACCGCCAAGCAGCCAGAAAACGGTCGATCACGTCGGTCGAGGCAATCTCGAGATGGTCGACCATTCGGAAAGGCTGCGACTGCAGGGTTATAGCAGAGGGCTGGCAGGATGTGCAGATACCGGCGGGCCATGAAGGGTGGCCGCTGGGACACGGGACCTTCACCTTGTAAGCAAGCGGAGTGAGCGGAGGGAGGATGGATGTGGCGGAGGCAGTCTGTTTGGGGGTGATTTGCTTCAAATACGCGTGGTAGGATAGATGCTTGATCTTATGTTCCTTGTGGTAAAGAGCATTGTAGGGTTCAAGAGGCATGCAGTAATCGCACATTCCTTTTACGGCGTGAGTGCAGAATTTCGCATCCCGACTGCGAGAAATTTTGCCGTCTCGGGATCTCCAATAAACGTCCACGGGATCTTCCTTGACAGTCTCCCATATCCGGGTCGGTTCCGGGCCAGTGGCGGAAGCGGCAGCACTGCTGGGCTGAGCCGAAGAACTCGACGCAGAACCGTCCTTGGGTTTATAGGTTACAAAAATCAGATCGGTATGCCTTCAGAAACATTAGACGCGCTCTGGGTAATGCGAGGAGATGTACTTGAGACCCAAGCTTTCCAACGATCGGCCTTTCAAGCTCGAAAACAAAGCTTCATTTCCTCGGGGTTGGTTGGATATGGTGAAACTCGACGGGTCAGCATCTGGGGCCGTCTCCAGAACCTAGGAAGACCATCGGTTTGGGGGTCGCTCTCGTTTGGAATTGCACGAACTTTGGCAAGCAGCTCTGAAATGTCGGCTGTGGGTGCGAGCTCGATGCGAAAGTTTCCGTCCGGAGACCTGACTCGGAGGAGCTTTGGATGGCCTCAGGATGGGTTCGGCTGGCCAAGGGGACAAAAAAACACGTACCATGGTGAAAGTAAGAGTCAAGAATAATTCAGACGCGTAATGCTCGCCAAATCGGGTTCCACAGCCACATTGTGGCATCCTTCACTCGTTATGTCCCTGCTGCAGCTCTTGACTCTTCCAGCACATTCCAAAGGCTTCACGGCCATCCCCGATACAATTACCGATACCGAATCTTCTCCACCCCACAAGACTCCTCGCCGTGATGCGGACTCTGACTCCCCCTCTGCTGCTCGAGGCTCAAATCGCGCAAACCAGCCCATAAAAATCCAGTTTATTGGGACGACTCGGCGCAGCAAACCGCCGAGACCGTCTCTAAACCTCAGACAATGCATTGGACGGCTGCTAAGTCGCGACGACACAGGTACCCTACCACCTTCCGAGGCTATCTACAGCGAGTGCTTCTCGGTTGTCTGTGTCGCGAACACTGGAGAGGGCCTTTACGAAGACCTGAAGGTTGAGCTAGAGAGGGCTGTCATCTCGCTACGCCAGGAACTTTTGGTCACCCCCAAGCCGCCTCCTGTTACCAAGCCCGGCGATGGGGATGTTGCGGCCGCAAAAGTCGCGGGACCTTGGATTAAGAAGTTCGTCGAAACCTGC